AGCAGGGATTTGATATAAAACACCAGACACTTTTCTTGAAAATTTTTAAAAATTTATTTTGTAGAATCTCACTATATTGCCCAGGCTGGCCTTGAACTCCTGGGCTCAAGCAATCCTCTGCTTCAGCCTCCCGACAGCTGTGACTACAGGTAACTGCCATGCCCGGTTGAACACCAAAAACTTTTTTTTTTTTTTTGAGACTAAGTCTTTTGGTCACCCAGACTAGAGTGCAGTGGTGCAATCTCAGCTCACTGCAACCTCTGCCTCCTGGGCTCAAGTGATTCTCCTGCCTCAGCCTCCGGGGTAGCTGAGATTACAGGTGCATGCCACCATGCCCAGCTAGTTTTTGTACTTTAAGTAGAGTCGGGGTTTCACCATGTTGGCCAGGCCGGTCTCGCACTCCTGACCTCAGGTGATCCACCTGCCTTAGCCTCCCAAAGTGCTGGGATTACAGGTGTGAGCCACCATGCCCAGCCCAAATACTTTCAACCTCTAACTTCATGTCCTCTCTTTTTGCCCTGTCCTAGATTTTCTGTAACTCATGTGCTTATCCAATGCTACCCTTTCCTCCCTAACTTAAGATATTAATTTATCATTTATAAGCCAACACTTAAAAGACACTGTTCTAAGTGCTTTATATACATTAATTCACTTAATCCTCATAACTACAAAGTAGGTACTATCATCCCCATTTTAGATGAGAAAACGGAGTAACAGAGAGATCAAGTAATTTGTCCAAATCCCAGGTACTAAGTGATGGAGCTGGGTTAGAAACCCAGTATTCTGGCCAGGTGTGGTGGCTCAGGCTTGTAATCCCAGCACTTTGGGAGGCCAGGAGTTCGACCAGGACTGTACTCCCAGCTACTCCGGAGGCTGAGGCAGAACTGCTTGAACCTGGGAGGTTTAGGGTGCAGTGAGCTGAGATCACACCACTGCACTCAAGCCTGGGTGACAGAGTGACACTGTGTTGCAAAAAAACCAAACCAAAACAAACAACCCCCCCTACAAAAGACCCAACCCAGCAGTCTAACTACAGTCTGCTCTTAACCACTGACTTATGGCTTCTCTGAGGCAGGTATAATAATACTCATACAGATGAAGAAAATGAAACTCAGAGATCAAGTAACTGAAAATCATCCTGTTAACTCCAAAACCTGTATTTTTTCTGTTATATAAAAAAATAAAAAATAAAATAAAAAGTATAGAATTGGGTTCTGAAGCCATAAAGGCTGGGTTGAAATCCTGGCTCTGCCACTTAATAGCTGTGTGACCTTGAGAAAGTTACTTCTTTTTGCCAGTTTCCTTATCTTCAAAATACGGATAACAGAATTTACCACATAAGGTTATGAGAAATAAGGAAATAAGCACAAAGTGCTCAGAAAAGTTACCTTAGAAAGCACTGTTATTTTTATTTCCAACCTACCTCTTTTATTTATAAGGAAACAAAATAATTTGTCCTGTGTGCTACTCTGAGGAAGTAGCTGTAAGCCAGAGGTTAAGAGAATGAATGCTCAAGTTAGTTTGGGTTCAGATTTCCAGAAGGTGTCCTTTAGAAGGTCAATCTTCCAAAATTTCAGCATCCTCCTCTGTAAGAGCACAGTATCACCTTGCAAAGTTATTTTAAAGATTAAATGAGGTGATGTACAACTAGCACATGGCAAGTGTTCAATAAATATTAATCATGCATCATCTCTGCATCTCTAGCAGCTAGCACAATGTTTACTGAATACACAGTGACGCAATGAGGACATTAGCGCTTTTTTTTGTGGGTTTCCTTCACTAGTCCTCTCATTTTCTTCCCTGGCAATATCCCATTTTTACATTCGCCACCTCGACATCTTCCCTCTACTTAGAGACCAGTGTAGCAGCAAAGAAAAATGGAAACATTGAGCTGGGCGCGATGGCTCATGCCTGTAATCCCAGCACTTTGGGAGGCCAAGGCGGGCTGATCACTTGAGGCCAGGAGTTCAAGACCAGCCTAGCCAAAACCCTGTCTCAACTAGAGATACAAAAATTAGCTGGACGTGGTGGTGAGCACCTGTAATCCCAGCTACTCAGGAGACTGAGGCAGGAGAATCACTTGAACCAGGGAGGTGGAGGTTGCAGTGAGCCGAGAGATCCTGCCACTGCACTCCAGCCTGGGCTACAGAGTGAGACTCTATAAAAATGGAACTTTGTTGCCACTTAGTTACCACTTACCTAGTAGTAATCATATCAAATTTTTAGCAAATGGAGTGCAAGCACAAGCAGCAACCGCTGCAAACCACCAGTAAAGAGGGATTTTTATCTTATTTACCACATGAAGAACTATGAGAAAATATTGACAATTGATGTAATTACGGCATATATCTTCCTTTTTCTACTTTTAACCAAAGTTTCATTCCTATGCTTTTAAACCACACAGAACGTATGAAATCCATGTTAACATTAAGTCCATTTATTAACAAGTAGCCCAATAATTACAGTTAGGTAAATAAAATATTTCAGAACTATTTTATAGGCTGCCTTACAAATAACTCTCAAAGGTGCATTCTCTTTATGTGAAAAGTTACACATGTTCTGAGTTTAACACTGTACAATGAACTGTGAAATTTGCCTAGGCTAATACCTGTTTAACAGAATACTGAAAAACTTCAACATCATCTCTTTTCTCAAGCACCTTCATATTGCTCCCACAGTTCTTATAATCTTAATATAAACTGTCCAATAACCCAGACAAATTTCCCTGTGGACAAGAATTTTTAAAATTTAAAGTATTATATATTAATACAATCACTTTAGTTAAAAGTAAAAATGTATTGATCCACAATTGCCAAAAACCTTACGCTAAGCAAAAACTTCATTTAAGCTTAATGCTCTTTTTAACTCCTGCACGAATGCCAGATAATTCACCACTATAACGTTGCTCTTCTTTACGAACTTCACGAACCTGGCCTCTTCTTCGAATTTTGGCTCTTCTGAACTTCTCCCTGTGTTTCACTCTGGGATTGCGGTCAATCTTCTTTCTCCTAGGAGTAAGTCCCCTATTTTTAGCAATTTGATAGGTAATGGCTCTCTTTGCATTTTGATCTTCAACAGCCTGTTCTTCAGTGCTATTTTCTTCTTTCTTTCTCTTTAGCTTTTGCCTGTCTTCTATTTCTTTATAGTACTTCAGTTTAGCTTCTTCATCAAAATCAGAATCATCAGAAAGATCTGTAACAGCACAGGCAGCAGCAGAAGTCTTTGAAACAGACTTTGGTTTGGGCTTGGTGGATTTTGCTTCCGGAATCAGTTCTTTCTTTACAGCATCATCCTTAAGTGTCAACAGATAACGAATTTCTGAGGACAGCTTCTGATCCACAACTGACAGCTTGTTGATCAAATTTCGGTAGGTAACAAGCCTTTCTATGACAGGATGTCCATGTGCTGGGACTCTCCTAGCTTTCAGGATCAAATAAAAACTGATGTTCGAACAATAATTCAAGTAGAGGTTGTACTTGGTCCTCAAATATTGGCTTCCTTTTCCAGGTGGAATGATCCCTTGTTCCACCAACTGTAACAATGGCTCCAGCTCATCCTTCACCTCTGTCAACTTGACTTTCAGGTCTTCTATCAGCTCCAAGAGTTCTGGGGATTCCTTTCGCAACATTTTCAGCTTCTCCTTCACTGAAACTTTAGCCAAATCCTTCACGACCCGTGTCTCAGTCTCATCTACCTGAGGCACTGGTTTTGCAAAGGCCTCAACCCAGGCGACACCAAAATCGTCCTCTTGCAGCGCTTGGGCTAGGCGCCGCTGAATGATCTGTGCCTCCTCCTCCTCCTCTCTTTCCTCCTCCTCTGCCTCCTGTTGACCCTGCCGGCCTCGGGACTTGGAACCATAGTCTGTGTCATAGTAAAGTTTTTTCCTCTGACCCCACGACAAACTGGGATCCACAGAGGCCTCAGCATCACTCTGCACGGAGCTCCCACCATCATCATCGGCATTCTCCTCCTCCTCCCCCGCACTCCCCCCATCTTCGTCGTCCTCATCGTCCACATCTAGGGCTAGCACCTCCTCCTCCTCCTCCTCGCCATCCTCCTCGTCTCCACTCTGTACTTCATTCCAGCCCTTAGCTAAGGCGGCCCGGGATCGTGCCTCATGAAAGTCATCTACCTGATCTTGGTAGTAGCTGGTGTCCCCTGGTGAGGGTGGCAATCCTAAATCATCTCCGTTTTCGTCGGTGAGCGTGGGACCTGCCTTGGCTCGCACAGCTGCCCACTTAGCTGCTCCGCGCCGCCGGGATCTCCCCACCATGGCTCACAATCTCAGGTTTTACAGCGACTCCGGACTTTCGGCCACCTCTGACTTCGGTGCAGGAATCAGACGCTCCGATAACTCGTGGCTTTAAACAGCCGCGCGCTCCCCCGCCACCAGAGTTTGCAGACTCAGGATCCGCTACAGGAATTTCTTTCACCTTCCGGCCCCCAGCATGCTCTCCGCGTGGCGTACGATTTAGGACTTCCGCTCGGTCCCTTAGGCGAGGTCACGTTGATACCAACTTCCTTTTCGCTGTGCCCTTTGACGCCAGTCGATTCCGGTGAATTAAAATCTTTCCGTGTGGAAACGATAGGATAAGGAAGTTCCGTTCCACCGAACCCTTTCTTGGGGCTCATGCGCTTATTCTGGAGTACCTGGGCGTGGCTGGCGGACGGAACCTTGACGGCACCTCCAGGCGAGATCCAGACGGCCAATAGAGGGCGCTGCGCTTTACGCCCTGGAGAAGTCGTGGGGGCATTCCATGGAGTTTTAACTGCGCGTGTACCTGGCATTTGCGACCGGCAGGCGTGTGCTAGTGTAGTTTTCCTGCTCCCTAGTTTTCTCTTTTCTGCTTATCAGGCTGGAAGTTGATCAGATTGTTTTTCTCTCATAGCCCACGCCCCCCGCCCCCCGCCCCACCACCACATTTCTGGGCACCACAGCCTCAGGCAGCGCAGCTAGACTCCAGAATCCCGCGGGAAGTTTCCGGGCGAGAGCGCAGGCCGGACCTCCGGCTCGGGTTTACTCATCCCCCTCGCCCTCTCCCTGCTTACAGAGCTCGGGGACCCGCTCCCTGGGGATCGATAAACCTAGATGACCCTGAGGCTGACGGTGGGAAGGCAGAGCCCCACTGCAGGGTCTGACTCTTCTCGAGGAGGTATGCCCTGAATGTTAGAGTAATTCAGGGTGTAAGTTTTTAGGCATTACATATGCAAGGTTCGGGGTTAGTATTATGATACCTTTTAATGTAGGTGGTTGGAAGCTGAACTTTTGATATGTTGCTAAAATTAATGGTGACATGGCTGGGCGCGGTGGATCACGCCCTTAATCCTAAGCACTTTGGGAGGCCGAGGTGGGTGTATCACTTGAGGTCAGGAGTGCAAAACCAGCCTAGCCAACATGGTGCGACCCAGTCTTTACTAAAAATACAAAAAAATTAGCAGGGCTTGGGGGCGGGCACCTGTAATCAATCCCAGCTACTCGGGAGGCTGAGGCAGGAGAATCACTTGAACCCGGGAGGCGGAGGTGGCAGTGAGGCGATATCGCACCACTGCACTCTACCCTGGGCGACAGACGGAGACTCTGTCTCAAAAAAATAAATAAAATTAATGGTGACAATTTCTTTCTGTTTTCTTTTCTTTTCTTTCTTTTTTTTTTTTTTTTTGAGACAGAGGCTCGCTCTGTCGCCAGGCTGGAGTGCGGTGGCGATCTCGGCTCACTGCCACCTCCGATCCCCTGGTTCAAGTGATTCTCTCAGCCTCCCGTGTAACTGGGATTACAGGCACACGCCACCACCCCCAGCTAATTTTTGTATTTTCAGTAGAGACGGGGTTTCACCATGTTGGCCAGGATGGTCTCGACCTCCTGACCTCGTGATCCGCCCGCCTCGGCCTCCCAAAGTGCCGGGATTACAGGCGTGAGCCACCGCGTCCGGCCAAAGGTGACAATTTCTTTGCAGAAAGTATAGTGTCATTAGGTTAATAGAAATAATGCAAAATTTTAGAAAAGTGATACTTTAAACATTTTCCAAGTGCCTAAAGGTGTCTGAAACATTTTGAAATTTTTACAAGATTTTAGAAAATAAAATTTAGAAAGATGTGGGCAAAAGTTATGTTCTGATGGTAAGCATGAATTTATTTCTTAATGTAAATTTTAGTACATTTTGTCATTTAGCAGATATTAACTGCTTACTCTTTGTTGCAGAATGCCACAGACAGTAGTGGATCCAAAGATGAATCAGCTAGTTAAGGACTTTATAATCAGGTAGAAAATAAGACGCTCATACAGATTACCGGAATACAAGGCAGTGTATGATGTAAACCCAGTGCTGTAAGAGAACGGAGGGGTAAGAGATAACCTTTAGATTGCTGTTTTGGGAATATTGCTTAAAGAATATGACATCTGTGCTAGGACTGTAGTTATTTCCTTGCTTTAAATGTTAAATTTTCATTATTTAAACATTAAGTTTTATTTAGACACATAAAACAAATACTAATTGTTCATTTTAATTGCAAATTATTTGAGAATTTAGTCAGGCTTCAAGACTAAAATGCATATTTTATTATAGATAAGTTAGAAAAATATTTTGGATATTGTAAATGGGAATGATCATATTAATATTATTTAGTTTATACTAAATACTAAATTTCCTATCAGAACAAAGTTGCAGTATTCCATGCATATTCAGAGACTATTGTATTCTAACATTCTCAGAGCCTTTGTTTTTAGAGACAGGTGCTTGCTATGTTCCCCAGGCTGGATAGAACTCCTGGGCTTAAGTGATCTCCTGCCTCAGCCCCCTGAGTAGCTGAGACTAAAGGTGCAAGCCGCTTCACCCAGTTTTTCAGATCCTTTTGATAAAGAACAATTGATTCTCCTGCCTCAGCCTCCCACGTAGCTGGGATTACAAGCACCTGCCACCACACCTGGGTAATTTATCTGTTTTTAGTAGAGATGGAGTTTCACCATGTTAGCCAGGCTGGTCTCAAGCTCCTGACTTCAGGTGATCTGCCCATCTCAGCCTACCAAAGTGCTGGGATTACAGGTGTGGGCAATCGCGGCCAGCCAATTTGAATCTTTATTATGTTATTGCAATATCTGACTCAGGAGTTAGCAAGCTACACTAATGAGAGCCAGCAGGTTTTTTTTTTAAAAAAAATATTCTTTTTGCCTTACTCTAAGCCCTTTATGGGATTTTCTTACTATGGAAATTAGGGAGTCTGTGAATGACACATTAGGTGATGACACATTAGGATACTTCTTTCAGGGCATTTGTTCTGGGTGTTGGAGGTATTGTATGATCACATTAGCTTAAACTAATCTTTATTTCTTCCTGGACTGTTGAAGCAATTATAATTAATAATAGCTAACACTGAGAGCGGTTATTATGTGCTAGATACCGTTGTAAGCTCTTGAAACCATTATAACCCTGTGAAAAGTTACTGTAATAATCTGTAATTGGAGATGAGAAAATTAGGCACATATAGCTTAAGTGAGGTCATAAAGCTGATAATTGTTAGAACTAGATTTAAACCAGAACAGTCCGGCTTCAGAATCCATGCTGTGCTATAACTAAGTACTATACTATACTGGCTTTCAACTTTTCCTTTAATAGGTCTCCTTTTAGTCTCTGGTACATTTGATCTGGTACATCAGATATATCTTCCTAGAATATCATTTCTGTCACCCCATATCCTGGTTCAGAAACTTTCATTTCCTATCAAGATAGTAAAAACTCATTTATTAACAGCATACATGGCTATCCTGAAGTTTTACCCCAAAACAACCTTTCCAGCCATACCTTTCATTACTACAAAAACCTTCAATGCTAACCTAAGTACTCTACTATGCTTTATTCTCATTTGTAACTTTACTAATCTTCTGGGTGCTCAGAATTTCCTGTATCAGAAATTTACAAATCATTGCAGATATCTTTTTGTTTAAGAAATTCTCACGTAAGCCCATCTATAAGAGGACCTGTATGAGGCTATTTGAAAAGTTATTTTTGGTAGCAGCGAGTTAGAGACAACCTGGATATCCATCACTGGAACAGCGGATCAATAAAATGTTGTGGAAGAATAGCATGGAATTTAGGAGCATAGAGTGATCATACATTCTGGCTTGCCCTAGGATGACCTTGTTTAACCTGTTATCCCAGTGTAATTATTCATAGCACCTCCTTTCACTCTCATGATTAAGATGATTTTTTTTTTTTTTTTGAGACAGAGTTTCACTCCTGTCACCCAGGCTGGAGTGCAATGGCACAATCTCAGCTCACTGCAACCTCCGCCTCCCGGATTCAAGCAATTCTCCTACCTCAGCCTCCCGAGTAGCTGGGGTTACAGGTGCCTGCCACCAAGCCTAGCTAATTTTGGTATTTTTAGTAGAGACGGGGTTTCACTATGTTGGCCAGGCTGGTCTCGAACTCCTGACCTCAGGTGATCCACCCCTCATCCTCCCAAAGTGCTGGGGTTACAGACTTGAGCCATCATGCTTGGCCAAGATGATTCATTTTATAGACATTTTAACTATATAGTAATTGGAAGCAGTAGATTATATATCCATATGGCAACATGAATGGAACTTTAAAACAATGTGCTAAGGGAAAAAAGTAAAAAATAGAACATAATAAATAATATACCATTCACAAAAATTAAAAATGCAGGCACAATAATATAACAATACACATTTTGTAGGAATATAATCAAACAAAATAATATACATTAAACACAAAAGAATAGCTGCTTATGGAAGATGAAGAATGGGATAAGAGTTGGATATTAAAAGGAATAGAAGAGGACATTTCCACAGACCAATAATAATGTGCCTGGAACTGAGGAGAATAATTAACTGCACCTGAGATTTCATTAAAAAACAAATGAGCAAACAAAAAAGGACTATATCAATTCATAACTTAAAATCCTGCAGAAGCTTCCCAACGTCTATAGCAGGGGTGTCCAATCTTTTAGCTTCCCACTGTCTGTAGCAGGGGTGTCCCATATTTTAGCTTCTCAATGTCTATAGCAGGGGTGTCTAATCTTTTAGCTTCCCAATGTCTATAGCAGGGGTGTCTCATCTTTTAGCTTCCCAATGTCTATAGCAGGGGTGTCTAATCTTTGGCTTCCCTGGGCCACACTGGAAGAATAATTGTCTTGGGCCACACATAAAATATAGTAACACTAACAATAGGTCACCAGGCACGGAAGCTCACACCTATAATCCCAGCACTTTGGGAGGCTGAGGTGGGCAGATCACCCCAGGTCAGGAGTTCGAGAGCAGCCTGGCCAACATGGCGAAACCCTGTCTCTACTAAAAATACAAAAATTAGCCAAGCGTGGTGGTGCACGCCTGTAATCTCAACTACTCAGGGGGCTGAGGCAGAAGAATCGCTCGAATCCGGGACGCAGAGGTTGCAGTGAGCCAAGATTGCGGCACTGCATCCCAGCCTCGGTAAAAAAGCTAGACTCTATCTCAAAAAAAAAAAAAAAAAATTGCAAAAGAACTTACAATCTTTTAAGAAAGTTTACAAATTTGTGTTGGGGTGCGTTCAGAGTTGTCCTGGGCTTCATATGGCCTGCAGGCTGTGGGTTGGACAAGCTTGGTCTACAGGATCAAATTCATATGCTTCATCGCCACAGTCCTGCATAGATCTCAAACTTCCTCTCTATCAGTTATGTGTAATTGTGCCTGATTTGTGTTGTTAGGTGGACAGTGACTTTTTCCTTTAGCGTCCATAGACAAGTTCAGACTCAGCCTCCGAAGGTTATGGTTTCCTAGATAGATACTAGATTATATAGTAATCTTTCTTGGCAAGAGTGGGGTGTGAGAAGGCAGTGGAAATGCAGTCAGTCAGTCCAGGTATGTATGTTTCTATACTCTGTCAGCACTTCAAAGCAGTAACCTTTAACAGCATCGTGTCTTTTGAGCTTCCATAGTCACCAGCACAGGTCTTCACATTTAAAAGTAATTAACAAGATGAAATATTTAATATACAGCTTTCATGAACTTAATAGTTGAGGCTTGGCATGGTGGCTCACACCTGTAATCTCAGCACTTTGGGAGGCCAAGGTGGGCGGATTGTCTGAGGTCAGGAGTTTGAGACCAGCTTGGCTAACATGGTGAAACCCTGTCTCTACTAAAAATGCAAAAATTAGTTGGGTGTGGTGGCGCATGCCTGTAGTCCCAGCTACTTGGGAGGCTGAGGCAGGAAAATTGCTTGAACCTGGGAGGCGGAGGTTGCAGTGAGCTGAGATCGTGCCACTGCACTCCAGCCTGGGTGACAGAGCAAGACTCCATCACCAAAAAAAAAAAAAAGACAATAGTTGAATACATATTACTTTTAAAAAAAATTTTTATTATTATACTTCAAGTTCTAGGGTACATGTGCACAACGTGCAGGCTCATTACATGTACCGTGCTGGCCCGTTGCACCCATCAACCCGTCATTTACATTAGGTATCTCTCCCAGTGTTATTCTTCCCCCCACCCTCCACTGCATGACAGGCCCCAGTGTGTGATGTTCCCCATCCTGTGACCAAGTGTTCTCATTGTTCAGTTCCCACCTATGAGTGAGAACATCCAGTGTTTGGTTTTCTGTCCTTGTGATAGTTTGCTGAGAATGATGGTTTCCAGCTTTATTCATGTCCCTGCAAAGGACATGAACTCATCCTTTTTTATGGCTGCATAGTATTCCATGGTGTATATGTGCCACATTTTCTTAATCCAGTCTGTCACTGATGGACATTTGGGTTAGTATCAAGTCTTTGCTATTGTGAATAGTGCTGCAATAAGCAGCGTATTATGTTTTTTCCCAGCATCACTGACTAGGCTGGGATGACTGAAGTTGTCAAAAGAAGTAGCTTTTCTTAAAAATGTGCATAAAGGTAGTAATATTAAAAATAATAATTTGATATAAGACTTACAGTAGGCAAATGTATTCTTGGTGTTAATACCTATCAATATATTTAGATAATTTAATATAACCTCAGAAACATGCTGAACTATTTTTGGACTCAAAAGAGAAAGAAAGATTATATTTAGTTATAAGAAAGAAAATGGATGAAGTTCAGTTGCCATCTGCTTTCATCTAGTTTCATCTGTCAGAAACCACTTACTCTGAAACAAGTATGTCATAGATTCTTTTTGCAAATAAGGTCTGTATCTATTTTAAGTCACAAAAGTCCTAAAAGTGACTTGGAAGTAAAATACAGAGCTTCTACTGAAATATGTGGTAAATATTTTAGCTTTTAAGCTTTAATTTAAAAGGACTTGGTTTGGTAGCCTTCATTACAAAATGAAGAATTTAGTGAAATTATGACACTGCTTTCCTTTCCAAACTCTAATTCA